GAAAGAGACACAGGAGCTGCATGATTTGTACCTTGAGTTGGGGGAGAAAAAGGGGTGGGTGAAGATGCCTTCCTTGGAGGTCATCCGAATTGTTGTGTTGGACATCATCTACAACAAGGTGCAGAAAGACATGCGCCCATTGAAAACAAAGCGGGATAACACAGGCTGCACCCTCCTCACTGATGGATGCACAGGTCGAAGGCACAAACCTTTGATGAACTTCATCGGGCCTGGCGAGAGCGGTGCAATTGTCCTGAAGGTCGTGGATGTGTCGAAGAAGAAGAAAAAGAAGACCACAGTGGCTTCGGCGATGATGTGGGAGCAGGTCATCAGGGACATTGGGGTGCATCGGTTGATGAAATCTGCATAGACAATGCTGAAGTCAACAAGCAAGCTGCGCGGATCCTGCCAAGGCGCACAGATAGTGACATATCAAGCATTCCATGGGTCCCATGCGCAGCTCAGTGCTTGAACTCGTTGATGAAGAATATATGTGCATGAAGAGGATATCCACACCGCCGGCCTTTACTAGGTGCGCTGAACTTTCCAGGGAGTTGACCTTGATTTTGCCCACAGACGTCCGGTTTGCTTCCCCATACATGATGATGAACTGGTTTTGGGGAATGTGTGTGCTAGAGGAGATGGTGGAGGGGGGGTGGAGGCAGTTGAGATGAGAGCATGAGGAAAGATCAGGACAAGTCCGATCTGACGTACCAGACTGTTATTGTGCCAGAGTGGTGGAAGAAGATGCGCACAATTTTGGATGTGTTGGAACCTATATACGAGTTGTTAAGGAAGATGGACGGCAACGGCACAGCCCCCCCAATTTTGGATGTGTTGGGCAAGCATCTCAAGACACTCACGCAGCTGACCAATGTTCAGCAGCGCTTGATCATGAAGGCAGTGAACCAGCGCACGAAGATGACGAGGCAGCCTGTTCATGCAGCAAACTTTCTCCTCGACCCAAGGAGGAGAGATGGCAAGTGGTTGATCGACATGCACCTCCTGCTGGTCCAGAACACCCTCAAGTTCTTGTCCCAGTGCAAAGTGAAGGCCACTTGGGGGTGCAAGGAGCAGCTAGATCTGTGGGCAGACTTGCAAGCTTTCTACAGGGAGCCAACTGAGGACATGTTGGTGAAGGATCCTATGACAGGGAAAGTGGTGGAGAGCTTGTCGATTGACTTCACGAAGTTTGACAGTTCCCTTGCTCAAATGATGGCCTCCAAATGGTAATCTGCATGGGCCCTGTCATAAGAAGCCTCGGGACATTGTCGTGATGGTCACAGCGATGTGGAGCACTGCAACCCCTTGTGAAAGGAACTGGTCCTCTCTCGATCTTGTCCACGACAAGAGAGGCCCGTTATCTCCTGACAGCCTGGCCAAGTGATTGTGCATCCATTGGAATCTTCAGCTGCTGGACATCAAGAAGAAGAAGAGCATGGGAAGCTTGGCAGGGTACTTGGACATGTGGGCTGCATTCTTTGATGATGTGGAAGCACCACCAAATGATCCTGCAGCGTTGCCCAGAGCTGCAACTGCAGCAGACTTGAGTGATGATGAAGTGGCCTGTCAGTCAAATCTAACGAAGACTCCCCAAGCCAAGGTCCTGAAGCCGCAGGCCGTTGATGAATTAAGCTCCTCGGACAACAGTGATGATGGGGCGAACCTTATTTGGAGAGACAAATGCAAGAACAAAAATGTTGTTGAAGTTGTTGACGACGGGAAAGGCAAGGCGCATATGGGTGTGGATGACGAGGGAAATGATATTGAGGAGAGCAAGGAAGACAACGAGAACTTTACCTTGCGGTCGCCAAGAGCGAGCGACAAGTCCGGCAATGACAACGAACTGGATACGACCTCACCCATAACGTGGAGCAGGGTCACCTCGATAGTGATCTGGAGTTCTTGCAGCCTCGGGGGATGGACTTCAACGTAACCATCGGAGCGGACCTCGACTTCGATGATGACGCTGACAGGGCGAGGGCGCAGTCCCTTGCTCATGGTGATCGCACCCTTGTGGGACAACGGATGTGAAAGGAAACAGCGAAACAAAGCGCTTTCCCACGGGGAGGATGAGCAATACAATGGTGGGAATGTGCAGATGTCTACCAGCGGAGGGGGTTTAGCAACAGCACCAGGAGGAAGGCAAGCAACGGAAACAACGAGAGGAAGTGCAGCAGCGGCAGCGAGAGGAAGGACTGCAGGAGCAACGAGGAAGGCCTGCAACAGCAGATTGAAGAGTGAGTGGATGTGCTGTGGCAACAGCAGCATCAGCCAGAGCACGACGGACTGCTGCAGCAGCAGGAGCAGCAGCAAGAGGATGACCAGCAACACCAGCAGCAACAACAACAATGAGGACTGCAACCGCAGCAGCAGCAGTACAACGATGGGTTGCAGCATCAACAGCAGCAGCAGCAGGAGGAACAACAAGGACTGCATCAGCAACAGACAAAGAAGGATGGACTGCAGCAGCATCGGCAGCAAGAGCACGATGGTCTGCAGCAGCAGTGAGAGCATGATCCACTGCAGCAGCAGCAAAAAGAAAATGGGAGTGCAACAGGAGTCGTTCGAGTGTACTCCAGGCGCCCACCAGGTGCCCAGTGCAGCAGCCATCCCGGGTGTGGTTCAAACCTTCCTTTCCCTGTGCAGGTCAAGGGCATGCAGCATGACAACGGTCTAAAAGTGGCAAGGAAAAGTACCCACTTCAGCCAGCAACATCAGTATGCGCTCCGGCCGGCGAGGATGGTGGTGAAGGGGGTGAGGTGCAAGAGCATGTCACTTGGGGGAGGAAGGTGCAAGGGGGCCCTACACTGGAACTGGACAATGTGGAGACTGGAGACACACCTGTCCAAGCAACCGAAGAGGAAGGCGGCGTAGAAGGCAAGGGTTGTGGAAGACAATTCAACCGATGCGGAAGAAAGTAGTGAGAGTGATGAAGTTGGTCGGGAAAGCAACTGGCGTAGAAGGCGAGGGTCGTGGAAGACGATCCAACCGTTGCGGAAGAAAGTAGTGAGAGTGATGAAGATGGTTGGGAAAGCAACTGGCAATAGCCGCGTACAACAGCGGCACAGTGTGCCCCAATGTATGTGTGGGGGTTTACAGACAGGGCTAACCGGGGGAGGAAGTTGCAAGGGGCCTCTGCACTTGCGCTAATTCTTTTTATATTCTTTTCGTGTTATCACTGTTACCATGTAATGTCAACGGAGGCTTTCCTGTTGATTAGAATTCATAAGACCTCTGAGTCTTTCGAACAGCTTCTGTGAATCTGTGGGCTGCACTTATGTTGTTTTCAAGTTCTGATTCTTCAGAACATGACTTCGAGCTTTCTTGCATTGTTGCTTGAAAGAAGGGAGAGGGGGGGGGGCGAAGTGGGGTTGCTTTGAGTTTGCTCGCATGAGCTTGCTACCATTGCGGATTGAAATCATAGGGAGCAGCAGACTCAGCCTGAGTGCTGACTCAAACTTAAGTTTCAGTCCGCACTCAGACACAGTCTGCTGCTCCCCATGATTTCAAGCAGCAAACTCTTAAGCGAATCAGTCCCACTCGTCCACACTAAGACACAGTCTGCTGCTCCCCGTGATTTCAAGCAGCAAACTCTAACCGAGTCAGTACTGCTGGTCCACACTCAGACACAGTCTGCTGCTCCCTGTGATTTCCAGCAGCAAACTCTAAGCGAGTCAGTCCCACTGTTGACGACTGCCACGCCAGCACGCACGTCGGGATCGGGTCTTCTCGCCGGCAAGTCTGTTCCACGTCAGCATTCCATGTCAGCATCACTGGCGGTCGTCGTTGATGTTAGGAGTACAGCTCCGATACCAAATTGCAATGAACCCAGATCGTGAAGGCACTTGTCAACAGTGCAAGCCCAGATGAATGTCAACCTGCTGAGGATTATCAATAATAAAAATCATGTTCAGATAGAATGAGATGGGATAGTCATACACAGACGAAGGAGAGAGGAGGGAGATTAGACAAAGGAGAGGAATAAATAACAAGGCCCATTCGTGCTTCGGGCTTCCTCATCGATCAACACGTCAGGTAATCAATAGTCTGAACACACATCTAAAGTTCTATTCCAGTGTGCCACGTGGCACGTCGATCAGACCCTCATCAGCATACTGGAGCAATGTCGACGTCAAGATAACCAGGTACGTGTCCACAATCATCCCACAGTCATGATCTCCTCCCGAGTGACGATGAAATAGAACAGCAATACCGGTCACGCAGCCCAGCCACATCAGAAGATAGAACACGTGGCAGCGGCCACGTCAGCAGCAACGCGTGGCAGCTGCCACGTCAGCATGCCATGAAGACAATGGCCAGCCAGCCACCATGCCGAGCCAGCAGTGCGTCGCTGTCGCCGTAATCTCCCAAGTGCCAGCACAAAGCCAGCGTCGTGTCATCAACGCATGAAGTCAGCATCGACGCAAGACTGAATGAATGTCAAAGGCAGCGAGTCAGTGCTTATGTAGCGTTGACGCGGGGTCTGGACCCCGGGTACTGGAATCCTCAGTCATCGAGATGTCAACACAGATGACGGCCCAGATTGGCCTGAAACCGAATCTCCCCTGGCCTCCATGCTGTCTGGGTACCTGCGCACAACAAGTGTGTGTATCTGACCAGGTCCTGGGCGGGGTACCTTTGACCTGACAGTTGACTTAGACCTTTGACTTTCCAGGCAGCGCGTGGTCTCACTGCCTGGCGCAGGCCGAGTTTGGCCTGCGTCGTCTGGGCCTTGCTTTGAGGGCCCAGACCGGCTGCAGAACACGGGTTACTGCACTTCTGTTGCTCAGGTCAGTTTTGTAGTACTATGTTGATATGACTTGTGAGTGATGCTCAGAGTGGGAGTATAGGAAGGAAGTACACAGTATAGTGAATGTTTTTGACAAACAATTTGGCTTTTGAGGGTCCTGTGCTTTCGCACAGATTTTTGTTGATATCTGTTGTTTTCTAGGATACTGGTTAATCTGTGATATTCCCATCCTGCAATCTTGGGACAGGATGGTACACGACTTGTACCATGCTCGTGTGATGAAGCAGAAAGGGAGCAGATATTTGAATGGGACCTCGAATGCAACATTTCATGAGAAGGAACTCCAGCAGGCTAAGGAGGATTATGATGAGTTCACCATGCAATTTGGTTGCCGCATGACAGCGCTGGAACAAAAGAAGCCACGGAGCCTAATCTCACAAGCAATGAAATACCATCACGCACAGGTGAGTTTGTTTGGCTTGATGAATGTGCGTTGTGTGTGGGGGCCTCTTTGGATGCCATTCCTCTCAGGCCTTTTACTTTCGTGAACGCTGTTAGGCTTTTCTTCATTCCAATCGCAGTGCTCAAGATCCAGGCAGCAGAGTAAGGCACTCGTGAAGTAGCGTCACCGCAAGAAAAAGCCAATGTAGATTGTTAGAATCAGTCCCTCGTTTAACCGTTGCTGTACTGGACACTCAGAGCACTTCTGTTTTCTGGCTCTCTTGGTCGTCCGCTGCATACTATAGAGATGGGCAAGCTCGATTGGCCAAAATAAATGTATGGTGTGTCAGGGATGTGGCTAACAGTTCTCTTTCATTCTACGGTGTTCTCCTGTTTTCGTATGGCTTTCTTAAACCACCACTACCTCCGAGCCTCTTTTTGTGGACCCTGATTTTACCTGCGCGCGAAGTTTTGCCGAGCCTGGCATTTTCGTGGAACCTTTTTGTTTTTCTTTCCCGGTACCATACGAAAAAGATACGGACGGGGCGGTAAGATTCACCAACGAAGAGGGGATAAAAAAAAAGCAAGCTTTGCCCATGATAGGATGCAGAATCTGCAGACACATTCTCTGAGGTAGTAGTGTGAGTATGCCCTCAGTGAGGGCGTTTCCGAGCCACTGTCAGATCCACAAGAGGAAAAAGAAGAAAAAAACACCGCTTTGGCTGTGAAAGTGGCCCAATACATTGGTAGGAATGTAGCGTGAGTATCCTCAGTGAGGGCGTTTCAGGTGAATGCGAATTACGCCCTGCCTCGCTGGCAGGGCACCAAGAGAAGCAAGAAAACAAGAGAACAAGATGAAAGAAAAACATTTGCACTTCGCTATAATAGTGGACAGATACATTCTGGACAGTACTAGTGTGAGTATGGCCTTGGTGATGGACTTCCCCAACATGATTGTTTTCCACACAATTTGTTTCTCTTTTTTTGCACGTTGCAAAAGCAGGACCAGAAGGCCCAAATCTTTTCTTTTTTTCATTTTAATGCACTTGGCCTCCAACCCTATGCCGGACACCCGAAATTTTCGGATGAGGTCATTTTCCCAAATGGGGCTACAGCTTGGAAAGGTAGTGGTGGTTTAACCGCCATTATGTTTCAGAGGCGAAGTCTAAATTGGAAATATAACCCACACCGCACTCTTCGGGGGCTAGGCACCACCGGACCAAAATGGCTGGCAGCGCCAGCCAAAACAGAAGTTAAAAGGTCGTGCTGGCGCTTCGGCAAAGCTTGCGTCGCAGTTATACTCCGCCTTGACAGAAAGAGGCTCGGAGGTAGTGGTGGTTTAGTGTTGCTCAGCTGAAGTTCTTCTCCAATGGTATGACAGTTCTCTTTCATTCTACGGTGTTCCCCTGTCTGACTGGGCAACCCCCTCTGCGGAAGCCACCTGGGCGAACCGGGCAGTACACCTCCAGCAATCTGGGTGGGGGGGAGGTACCGGCCTGGAAATGGCCTGGGCGGCCTCCCTTCCCCTCCTGGAGGATACCTTCAAGTTGGGTCCCATTGCCTTCATGCCATCGCCATTGCCCCTCCATTATTGTCACCTCTTCTTCTTTGGAGAGAGAGAGAGAGAGAGAGAGAGAGAGAGAGCAGTTCGTAGTATAGTGGTGAAAGAGCCACTGGACAGTCTGCTCGCTGGGCCCTCCCCCCTCCCCCCTCCCCCCTCACCATCCTTTGTGGACCTTTCCTCCTCGACCTCATCTGTCAACCTTCCTCGTTGCCCTCCCCCCTTGCCATTCCCACTCGTGCTTCCCACCTACCCCAGTCCTCCAGAGTGTAATTCAATTTGTTGTTGTTGTTCTTCTTCTTCCTTTCCCCTTCACCTTCGCTTTTTCCAGCTTCTATTTTGACCTTCGCTCCTCAGCTAATTGACCTCCCCCCTCTCCCTGTTGACCCTCCCCTCACCCAACAGCAACTACCTTCTTCCCCTGAACATAATGCATATGTGTTTTATTCGAGTTAAAAAAAAAAATCGAATAGAATGCATGTGCATTGTCTTCGAAATTTAGTGCTATTCGAATAGAACACATATGTGTTGTATTCAAATAGAACAAAGCCTATGGGTTGTATTTGTTTACAATGCATATGTGCTATGTTCGGGGGAAGAAGGTACCCACTCTCCCAAAAGATAGCTGAGTTCATACATTCTGATGCGGATTCTGACAGCTCGCAGTGAGTGCAGATGGACTCGGTTTTCAGAAATATAAAAATAAAAGTTTGTGGCAGTTTTTCGCCGAAGCGGATTTCCGGTTGAAGGGCTGAACTGACCTGGGCACAACTGGGAGTGCAGAATGGGCCGGGCGGGGGCTTCGTCCTCGTCAAGGAAGGGTGACAGCCTTGAGATATCATCATTGAACTGACCAGCCCCCGGTAATTCAGAAATTCACTCAACTACCGTCTTCACCCGAATAGAACGTCCGGTCATTATCACTGTATCTAGACTGAAAGGTGCACCAAATAGAGCTATAATGACCGGGCGTTGTATTCGGGTGAATACGGTAGTTCACGTGGATTCAACCTTGCGTCTGTATTTCAACAGTTCATAGGTGTACCAACGGAGCTCAACCCATTGGTAGGCTCTGTTGTTTCTCTGTTGTTGTATATTAAAGGGATGAACAAGCTGGGATGCCAGAAGTAAATGTACGGTGTGTCATTGATGTGCCTAACAGTTTGTTCTCTTCTGTTCTACTTCGTTCCTTTTTTGGCATGACTTTCTTATTGCTCTCAGACGAAGTTCTTCTCCAATGGTATGATGAGTGTGCAATCCATTGAGCCTTTCATGAGGCAAACAGCTCAGCAGAATCACATGGATCTACATGAGGCTATGTCCCCAGGAGACCCCTGCATGGGCGCAGAACGGGCATTGTCAGATGATGATGGTCTGGCAAGCTCAAGTGACATGGATCGGCAGGTATGGTCCAGTGTTTGACATCCCCTTGCCTGTTGCCTGGTCCTGCATTATGGTACTGCTTTCTTCCCAAAATAGGAGGATACGTATGCTGGGCCGATGCCCACCCTGGTGCACCCGGCCAGGCACACCCGGGCCAGCGGGGCAGGGGAAGGGTCGCCTGGCAAAACCAGGCAGGTTGAAAATGACGCAAGGATTCCAGGAAAGAAAACAACCGACTTCAGGCCAGATCTGCGCTTGGCCTGACCAGTCAGAATCCGGGCTTAGCTTCCATTTTGGTGATGGGCCATCCAGGGGGGGTTGGGGGTTATAAATGGAAACTAGAAGGGTTTAAACTTTAATGGGTATATCTTACCTCATGTTTTCTCATTTATTTTCATTTATGATTTATCTTAAAATTAAGAAGGAAATCCTAGGGACCTGAGCCGAAATTTGTTTGTAGAATTGTATTGCAATTTTACACAACTGTTTTTTTTTTAATTGTTTTTGAATTGCCCCGCCCACCCCAGAGGATACCCTGGCGGCCATTCCCCAGCCGTGCCGCCCGGAGACCAGCATAGGAGGATACAGATTCAACCTCCATCCTACCAATCTCTATTCTTTTCATCAGTACCACCGAGCCTCTTTTTGTTGAGGCGGGTCCTCCGTCCCGGCCAAAAAATACACCCCGCAGTACTGGTGGTACCAGCCTTTGTTGCCTGGTAGCACTGTTCATCCTAAGAGCCTGCAGTGTCACATTTTCGGTTTTGAAGTGTGCCTGTGCGTGGTACGGGTGGTTCAAGGAAGTTTTTGTTTTGGATCTGGTCACAGCAGACTACTTGTGCTCTTAATGGGACTTTGCGTGTCACTACTTCTCTGTTAGACTTTTCCTGTCTGTTTTCTATGCATTGCTATTTGGAAATGGCAATGATCTGATTAGTGTCAGTGTTTCTCTGACAAACTTGTGGTCCGTTGTTTTTTTCTCATGGTTGGAAAAGAAAATGGGTAACGATGTTCATGATAGAATGTTATCACTCTGGTTTCTACAGCAGCATAGCTCCATTTTGCTATGCCTGGCCGTCGCCTGGCCTGGCACACGTAGCCAGGCACCCCTGGGCCAGTTGGGCAGAGGGGGGTTCAACCGGCAAAACCAGACGGGTCAAAAAAGAGGCAAGGATCCCAAGAAAAAGAAAAAAAAAAAGACTTCAGGCCAGGACTGCGCTTGGCCTAGGCGGTCTGAATCTGGTCTTAAGTTCGGTTTTGGTGATGGGTCATCCAGAGGGGGTTGGTGGATATAAGCAGTGACTAAAGGGCTTAAAGGGTACATTTGAACCCATGTTTACTCATTTGTGAGGAAAAAGCCCTCAAGGGGCCCTATCAGACATCACATGTTCTGGGCTAAGGCCCCCAGAAAGCCGAGTGCCCGCCCTAAGTGAAGGCGGGCCTGAATATTCGTCAGAGGCCAGAATTCGACATTTCCGTATGTGGGTATTCATGCTCTGGCAGCACGCCAGTTTGTTGGGTAGACGCGTGAGCCTCACTAAGCTGCGTCATACAGTTGGCCCAGGCCTTGACAGTTGCACCTGGGCACATACACACAAAGCAGGGCCGATACATTGGGAAGCAGGCCATCGGCCTTTGGAAAAGCAGTACTGCCGACGCACCTGCCTGGGAGCCCTGCACAGATGCAGCAAACAGCCCAAGCCGGAGACTCAGTTCGTGCCCAACTGAACAGGGCCCAGGCCCTCAACTGTAGTCCCGGGCCTGGGCGCAGGGTCTGAGGCCCAACTGGAAGCTGCTGGAAGCTTCCAGCCAGGCCACACGCAGCATCCAGGAGGCTGCCACTTCCATCAAAGAAGTGAGGCAGCCCAGGCCAGGCATTCTGGCCAGTGCAGGCAATGCGGAAGTGCTGCTGGGCTATCGCTTGATGCACTGCTGCCAAGGGCGCTGACGGGGAGCATAGTGGTGAGGTGGGGTGCTGCAGGGAAGCGGGGCACGAGCAGCCATAGATGGGCTGCTGGGCGCCAGTGGGTAGGAGGGCGATCAGGTAGTCTTCAAGGAAGGAGGTGAGTGTGGGTAATCAAGGTCTGATTGAGGGTGATGAGATATGTACCTGGTGCATGAGAGGTTGGCTACGGTGTTGACAGTCATGTACATTGGTCTTCGAGAGTCGAAGTCAGCCTCTTGCGTGAACCAGCTGTAGGTAGGATTGTCGGGCAGAAGGCTGGGCGCCGAGCGCCAGACAGGAGAGAAGCGACTTTGAATATTGTGTTGGTGTGGCCTATGGGCTTGAACATTGGCTCATTACTTCATTGTATTGCTCTATATGGATGGTTTCTCAGTGTGTAATAACCTGCCAGAACACAGGCTGAGAACACTGCTGATTTCTGGGATTTGCCGCTGGAATGAATGCCTTCCTGAGATTCCCACATTCTGCTGTGGTTTCCAAGTCTGTGTGTGTGTGCGTGCTTGCTGGTTTGCATGCCTGTCTGAGTGCTTGTCGGCTGAGTGTGTGTGTGACCCGCAAGGGTACTTGTTTTGAAGGGCCCCGCAGGGCTGGTACTTATCTGTGGCCGTGACTTTGAGGGTTGCAGCGGGGAAAACACTCAAGTAACGGGGTAGGCCCGCGACACTTCGAGAAGCGGGGGGGAAAGTAGAGTGTCGGGTACTGGAGGCCGAGCAGAAGAAGACAAAAAGTTGGCATTTTAGGCCCAGTAGCGGTAGGTTAGAGGTAGGCCGGTACCAGTCCAAGTAGCCTGAGTCTAGGGCCTGTCCGGACGATAGCAGAGCCTGCAATGATGTTTACCTCCGAAAGGGAGGAGGTACCGGTTGCTGGGAGGCCGCTCGGCCTAGGAAGTCACCGCCCAAGAGGCCAGTAGGCCGCTATATCTTCCGGAGGAGCAAGCAGCTCCTCCTCATTTGCGGCATGCAAGGATTGGCGACATGCTGCTGAGCCAAGCGCTGGACTTGTGCAGCACTGCCTGGAGGTGAAGAGCAGCTGGGAGCTACGCCTGGCTATGGCGAGCAGCCCAGCTTGAGGAGGAAGAAGGGGGCGAAAGAGGAGAGTGGCGAGGTACCTACCTGGCTATGGTGGACACCATCTTCATCACCTTGTTGGACGCTGCATCTGGAAGGCCCCAGTTGGGGTAGTGCCGCACCAAGGAAGCTCGAGGCATAGCTGCTTTGGGTTGTCCTTTGGACAGGAGTGTAGCGACATAGCTGCTTTGTGTTGTCCTTTGCACAGGAGGGCAGAGTCCTCAGTTGTCCACCATAGCTATGGACCTATGGTGATGTCAGCAGCAAGATGGAACTTTGGATATTGATTCTGGGCCATCCACTCATTGTTATTATTATTATTATTATTGGTAGCCAACTTCTGAGAGGGCATCTTTTTGGACATGTACTCTACTGGTCTCGACTGCTTCCCCTCTTGCTGTGCAAGTACGGCGCCTATGCCATATTGGCTAGCATCCATAGTTACTACGAAAGGTTTGTCAGGATCAGGAAGTTTCAAGACCTCATGGTGTGTCAAGGCAGCCTCACACCTGTCTGTCCACTCCCATGGGGTGTCAAGGCGAGTCAGGTCCGTCAAAGGGGCAGCCACTACGCTATAATTTTGAACAAAATTGCGATACTAGTCTGCCATCCCTAAGAAGGACCTCATCTCAGTCACAGACTGAGGACGCGGCCAGTCACGAATGCTGGCCACCTTCGCGTCATTGGGCTTCAAACCCTCCACGAAAATCTCATGACCCAAGTACAAGACACGGGTGCGGCCGAAGCCGCCGAACTCACACTTCTCCCTGCTTATCTTGAACTTGTCCTGCCGAAGGAGACTGAGGACTTCTCCCCGCTTAACTTGAACATGCTCCGATACCAAATTGCAAGGAAGATGAGCACTAGCGAACTTTAGCAATCAAACAGCATCATACACATGAGACCAGATAGTCGTGACCTCGAACCAAAAGTAGAATTGCGTCTTGAGTTTCACCAAATAAGAGAACACCAAAAGCTCATAATTGACAATGCTGGAGTAGTCTCGTCATCATCAAGGAAGAACGAATGTTGATATCCTATCTGGCGCTCGGCGCCCAGACTACGAATGGCTGATCCTATCTAGCCTAGACTACAATGCCGCTGATGACGTCAACAGCTTCCCAAGTACGAGCAGACTGACGTCAACAGCTTCCCAAGTACGAGCAGACCTTGGCCAATGCCGCACGCGTCAAGCACCAGGTATGTCTCTCGTATCACTCACAACCTCGTTCCTCAACTCACAGATGCCACTTGCACCCAAGGACCACCATGCGCCCCATCCAGCATACAGCAGCGCAGCTCGGCTATGGCTGCCTGCTCCTTCCAGCTCGCCCGTGCGCGCGTGAGCCTGGCAGGCGATAGCGCAGCAGCGCTTGCGCACAAAGCACCCAGTGCCCAAATGTCCAATGATGTGCTGCGGTACTGGGCCCCAGCCGAGAAGCTTCCGGTAGGCCCAGGGAGGTTGAACCTGAGTCCGATGGAAACAGGCCCAGGGCCTGTGGCGTTTACCAGCACCCAACTGCCCTCAGCCTTTGTTCGGTCCACTTTGTGTATCCGGCCCAGGGGCTGCCTCAGTTACATGCAATGAAAGGCAGCCTGGGGCTGGGTGCTTCCAACCGACCGGTGCTGCGCAACTACCCGAATTTCCCCAGTTGCATGGTGACCTTGAAATGGTCTGTAGGGCCTCGGTCGTGCCTGCCTTCACTTAGGGCGGCCGACTGTGTGAATATTAGGCCCTGTAGGGCATATCGAGGCCCTATGCCTCGCAATTTTTTTGATTTTTTTTTTTTTTTTGCTAGGACCTGCCCTGGTCCTTGCATGGGTGGGCCGTTCGGGAAAATAGGGTGTGACCCCGACGGCCCCCGGCTGGTAGCCTAGTTAATTGATGCGTTGCGGAGCTTATTTATTAGCCTTAATAGGAGTAGTAAACAGCGTTATTAGTTGCTTTTATTATGTACGTTTTGTGAAAGTCGTGTATTTTGAAACAC